ATNATATTTTGTGCATTTTCATGACATTTTTTGGTTAATCTATTTATGACTTGATCAATTTGTTTCAAAGAGTAATTATTGTTCACGAGAAGTTTTTTTATTGCAAATATGCAAACAACAATGAACAGGAAGATAATGGCAACCCCTCTACCACGTCTAATAACTTTGATAATAACAGCATCACAAGCCTCACCACAAACAGTTATCAAAATAACAACAACAATAATAAAATCTCTTTCCTTGACACTTTAGTCACCATGCACGCAAATCAGCTCTCTACCCAAGTATACGTCAAACCAACAAACTCTGGACAATGCTTAAACTACAATTCCGATTGTCCCGTCAAATACAAAAACAACGTCATTAAAAACTTCATCTCACGCGCTTTTAAATTATCTACCGACGATGAATCTCTTCACATAGAAATTCAAAGAATCAAACAGTTACTTATTAATAATAATTATCCAAATACACTCATCGACGACGTCATATCTAAATCTCTCAAGAAATTCAAACAACCACTTCTACAACCACAGCATGAACAACAAACAATACCTATTTACTACAAAAATCAAATGCATAATAACTATCTAATTGATGAAAAACAAATTAAACAAATCATTAGATCAAATCTCACATCAAAAGATTAAAAGATTAAGTTAAAAAGATTAAAAAATAAAAAGATTAAGTTAATAATATATTATGATACAACAAAAACAGTCCAAGTACAGCAAGGCGCTATCAAGGATCACTTCAATAACCAGCTCAACATACCAGTTACTCGAAAAATTCTTGATAATAACACTAGCATACTTTGTAATGAACGTCGTCCCTCAAGTCTCAAAATAAAAGAAGCTATTCTCATCCTCAATAATAAACCAACAATCAACACGCAGTCAGACAATTTCGCCCACGTCTTACAACTTTTTACTCAATATCGCGACGTTGTACTGCCTCAATTGCCAAACATCATCAATAGACATCAACTACACACCAAATATAAATACGAATATAACACACAAGAACGCACCATTAACAACAATCCGTTTGTCTCTTCACGCCATAAAACTCAAACAATTTGTTCACTAACTTCATTATTTGCCACGCCTTAATATTTCTTTATACATATTTATTGCTAAATAATATTATATCCAATTGTTAAATATCTAATAATTCTCCAATAAACTGTCATATCATTAAATATTATTATCGACTTCCCATAATTTCTGCATTACTTCTCGTCACTATGCTAACCATGTACACTTCAACTACGATAATACACAAACAATTTTACTCATAATTTTTCTTTTAAATTTATTCGTTTATTTTCAACAATGTAATGAGTTAATTATAAAATATAGGTTGTTATTCATTTATTTATTCATTTTAATATCTAATAGTCTATTTTCTATTTCTTATAATTTATATTATTAACTCCTCATTTGGTTTTACATTCTTTTAAATTTATTCGTTTATTTTCAACAATATAATGAGCATATATAGCATGTTATTCATTTATTTATTCATTTTAATATCTAATATTCTATTTTCTATTTCTTAAAATTTATATTATTAACTCCTCATTTGGTTTTACAATCTAGGCTCCGACGATGGCATTAGCCGAAACGGCCGTCAGCCAAACTTCACAGTTTAATAAAGTTGAAACAAAACAGCTTCGTGTTGTGGAAATTTTATTTAAAAAACTTCTAACTGCAAAATGGGGTGTAATCTTCAACCGAACATGTTTATCTGAGAACCTCATACCAAATTATATATATATATAGTTGTGAGTTTATTGATATCATAAATGGCAATAAACAGTGTGATGGACATATGGCTTCTCTCGACGTTGAGAGCCTATTCACAAATGTTCCAATCGAACATACTATCGACATCATATGTTCACACGTTTACAACCATCCCACACTACCTCAGCTTGATATACATCCAGATTTACTCAAAGATATTTTGCGATTGTGCACTGTTCAGAGTCCGTTCACTGCTCCCGATGGTTTACTTTATCTGCAGGTGGATGGTGTGGCGATGGGATCTCTTGGCCCACTTTTTGCTGAGTTTTATATGTCGGATCTTGAAACTCGCATATTTAAAGACCCAGATAACAAGCCGTTGATATATTCGTCATTTGCAAAACGGTTTCTGATGTGTACTGTTGAATGTCTTCCAGAATAATTCCCATCTAAAATTTACTATCGAGTTCAGCAAAGAAAATGAAATTGCGTTTTTGGATTGTCTTATCATGCAACACGAGAAACAATTAATTTCAAAGGTCTATGTTAAGCCAACCAACTCAGGTCAGGTGCTTAATTACAACTCAGATTGCCCTGAAAAATATAAATATAACGTAGTTTATAATTTTGTGCACAGGGCATATAAAATTTCATCCAATAATACTATTTTTCATAGTGAATTAGTTAGAATCAAACAATTCTTAATAAACAATAATTACCCGAACAAGTTAATAGATACCATTATTCGCAAATACTTGAATAAAATCAGTGACTCAACATCTGTTCCTTTTCTACCATCGGCTTCAACAAAAACAATAATACCGATCTTTTACCTTAATCAAATGCATGACAACTACAAAATAGATGAATTTCAACTTAAAAATATTATAAAATCTAATATCTCCCTGTGTAATGGTGAACATAAACTTAAACTCATCATATATTATAAAACTAACCGGACTTCTAACTTAATAATAAAAAATAGTAATAGACATTCTACAAGTATTTTGGAACAGAGTAGTGTCGTGTACAGCTTCAATTGTCCTATGCCACACAGTGTTGTGGAAAATTATGTTGGGCATACGCGTACTACTCTGGCCAGAAGGCTTACGATGCACGTACAGAACGGTGCCATTAAAGATCATATGCTCAAATCTCACGGTTTGCCACTAACCAGAGTATTACTTGATGTTAACACGAAAATACTTGAACGTGAATCGCACCCAGTTCGCCTCAAAATTAAAGAAGCTTTATACATCTACAAGAATAAACCCGCTATGAATAAACAATTTAACACATTTGATCATAGCCTACATCTTTACTCCCAGTATAGACATGATAGTCCACAACGTGCCGTTCATACCAATATCCTAGAACCACCAATGTTGCGCCACTTCGAATACGAGCCAATGCCAAAAGAAGCGATACTGTTTAATGGTGAACATGTTACCACTCGTCATAGGACTAATGTTTCCGTATCGCTGGTTTCGTTATTCGACAGTACATCTTAACATCCATATTAGCTGTGATACATTACAATTACTTGTTTTATTTTTATTTTATTTTCATTTTATTTTTTCATTTTATTTCATTTATTTTATCTTATTCCATTATATTTTTCATAAATAGTCTATATTCCAATTTAATCTAAGTCAGTTGTTTCATTTACGGATTCGTTTATTAAAATTTCTTATATATCATTATAAACTTAATAATTAATTTTGACAATTTTCCATATTCTTTCCACACATGTCTTCTTTTCACATTCAACTAACTTATTTACGTTTTATTTACATCATCCGATTTTAACAAATTTTCACCGAACTAAACTTCAGTATTAATTTATTTGTTTTAATATTTAATTTAATACTATTTTACTAACTTTTTATTTACATTTATATTTTTAACCATAAATTTAATTTGTACACGTTTTGCATTGTTTTCACTAACAAAGGTTTCTCGTTATTTTCTTAATAATTTTATTACACATACATTTAATATGCATTCTAATTTTATAAAAATATTTCATGCTATTCTTATTTTCATAGGCTCTGAAGATAGACTTCCCGAAACAGCGCTGTTAGCCTTACCATGTCTATTGTTTTAAATAAATACGAGTTTAATAAATTCAGACTTGTTGAGTGTTCATTAAAGAAAGTCATTAATGCAAAATAGGCATATATCTTCAATAATATATATATGTATATGTATATATATATGTATATATATATATATATATATATATATATATATATATATGTATATATATATGCCATTGCGTTATTGAAAACACTTTGCATGGTAATTGGCACAATGCTAAAGGGTCATTTGCGAATGTGCTGTTAGCATATGATGTTAAAGGGTTATTAGCATTTTGCAGGACTAGATGTAATACATCCTAGAGTTTTAATGGGAAATGCGAGGTTTGATTAGTATCATTAGATAAAAGTGTTGTTTTCGATGATTTGAGGTTAAGTCATGTGGTACCGTTGTATAAAAAAGAAGAAAAGACCTGGTCCACAATTATCGTCCTGTGGCGCTCACATCAATTAGTTGTAAAATGATGGAAGCACAGATAAGGGACTATATTATGAAGTATTTCATCAGAAAAGGTCTTTTAAAAAGCCAATTTAGTTTCATCCCTGGACGTTCTGCAATTTCGCAACTTTTAACAATTTTGAAAGATATAACTAAGAGAGTGGACTAAGATCACAAGGTCAAGGTAGTCTGCATGGCTCTTGAGAAAGCGGTTGACAAAGTTTCGCATAGTCGTTAGTTGTTCAAATTTCAAGGGTATGGTGTGAATGGAAAGATAGTGAAATGTATGAATAAATATCGCCGCAAAAGAACTTTTCAGGTCAAACTAGATGACGTCTTAACAGAGCCAAAATCGGTTTTGAATGGGGTCTCTCAGGGTTGGGTCTTGAGCCCTCTGATTTTTTTTATTTATATTAATGACATTTCATCTGTATGTGACAATATCCCACTTTTTGCAGATAATTCAAAAATTTACAGAGTATTGAAGTCTGAAGAGGACAAAATAAAAATTTATGCGCGATATTGGTAAATTAGTTAGTTTAATTGGTTTAATAATTGGAAATTGAAATTCAACACAGATAAATGTCAGTTGTTAAAAACCGTGTTCACCCTACACTACACCATTTTGATGGCATCGGATCACTTCATCCACCAATTGTTAAAGAAGTTTCAGATCTTGGAGTCATTGTAGATGATAAATTGAAGTTCAATAGTCATGTTTTAAGGGTAGTTCACAAAGCGAACTCTACGCTAAGTGTCATTGCCAGAAATTTCAAATACCTTTCTGACAAAGCTTTTTTAGCTTTATATTGGTGACATTGGTGAGGTCACACATAAAGTACGGTGTCCAAGTAGGTAATCCATACAGAGTTGGTTTAATAGAAAAACTGGAAAAAGTTCAGCAAAGGAAAACGCGTGTGAGAACATGCCGCAGAAGTCTTCCATGCGAGTACCGGTTGGTCTAAAGACGTCTAAAAACCGACCTTATTTTGTCATATAAAATAATACATAGTCAGCTATCTGCCGATGTTGTCCCTAAGTTACTGTATGCACATAATGTTTGTACATAGGGCCACAACTTCAAGCTAATTATAATATCAAGCTAGGAATAATGGAACAAACTGCCTTTGGTCGTTGTTAATGCCATTCCTTTGAGCGGTTTCAAATCAGCAGTCAATAGTTACTACAGTGACTCAAAGTTCAGCTGGCCATCTAATTTGTACTTGATTTGTGTGCCTGTTCAGTTAAATCAATTTTGCTTGTTGGATCAAAATTAGTTTCGTTTGTCATTTAACAATTTATTGGTAATCATTTTGTTTTTGCGTACGCTCTTGTAGGTTCACGTGTTTATATTCAGTTCAATTCTGATGACACTGTTTTTTGCTAATTCCATCTAATATATTTTTTGTGTTTATATTCAGTTCAATTCTGTTGACTGTTTCTGCTAATTCCGTCTGATAATATATTTTTATTTAATTTTTTATTTTTCCGTATTTGTTTGGCGAGAGTTATGCCCGTGCTACTCAAAATTATAATAATAACTTTCGTTTATATTTTCTCCGATCAAAGACATCCACGGAAAATACCACACGAGCATAATATTTTGAACGACCAAGATGGAATTCAAAGATACTAAATTAATTTATAATTGACAATATATATATATATATATATATAAAATAGTTTATACAATGTCTTAGACATGTTGTTGTTGCACGGAGATAATGCGTAAACCTTTGGGAGGCATCAAATGTTCGTACCGTGAATATTACAGTCATGTAAAGTGCTCTAAATTGACTGACTAAAGTTTTAAATTGTTGAAAAATACAGTGAATTTGAAATATTTTTGCGATAAATGTCTAAAGTTTTTCGAGTCATTCAACACTGTCCACAAGCTTATTGAAAAACAAGACGAACGTTTTATTCAGATAAAATTAATTAAAGAAAGCAATGCCAATATAATGCGTGAATTAAATCAATTCAAAACCTTCCTAGATTTAAGCCAAGAAGAATTAAGCTAAATATCAAACGCTGATGATTTGCTCGCTACTTAAAAAATGAACTCAGCACGGCTTGGTCCAGTATTGTCAAGAAAAATATTGATGCTGTATCCAATGAAGTGAAAACTGTCAAAAAGACATTAGACAAAGTTAATGATAATAAAAAACGTGAAAACAACATTGTTTTATTTAATTTGTCTGAAAGTGAAAACGTCTCAAAAGACAGAGATGTTGTTATGTCTCTTTTAAAGTATCAACAACTTTGATGATGATGCTTTCAGTATGGCAATTTCAAGACAAGGAAGAAAAAGCGACAAAGTTTGTCGACCTGTCATCGTCAGGTTCAGTGACGTTACATTCAAATTGTTGATTTTGAGAGCGTCTTTTAAAATAAAGTCACATTTTTGCCTGAGGATTTAGACATTTTTGTTATCACTGAGTCAAGGCATGGTTCACAGGGGGTTGATACTGTTCGTTTAACCATGCCACCTAATTATTCATACGTTGATTTTATTAGACCTAGTGATCCTAACCATGGTGGTATAAATTTTTTTCTAAAGTTTTTTCAATTTGAAAAAAGTTGAATTTCCCCAATTCAGAGCTTTGAAGCCATCGCTACAAGTTTCTTTTTAAATAAGTCAAAAGTTGTTTTGTTAGCCATTTACAGACCTAGTTCTGTTCCAGTTTCTGCATTGTTTTTTGATAAATTGTCATTGGTTTTAGAAGACATTTCTGTTTCATCTGATTTTTTGGTTTTTGCCGGTGATTTTAATATTCACATTGAAAGATGTAATGAATTAAATACAATTAAATTGTTAGATATTTTTGAGTCGTTCCAGGTTTGTTGTCGAGTTGGTGGCCTACACATATTTTGGGTGGAACATTCGATCTCGTCGTTTCATCGGTTGGTTTTCCACCTAACGATTGCACAATATTTCCATGTGGTGTTCATTCAGATTTTAGTTTCATCAAGGTTATTTTTCCGTTTGCTTATAGGAAGCCTACAATGTTAAAAAAATTAGTTCGGCCATGGGATTGTATCAACGATTTGTTTGCTAAAAAGATGCAATCAATTGTTGATGTAATTGCCCCACTGCATTACGTTAAGTCCGATGATACCCACATTGCTCCCTGGTTTAATGATCAATATAGACGTATGAAAAGAGCTTGCCGGAAATTGGAAAAAGCATATCGAAAAAACCCTAACGATGTTAAAACATGCCATTGTGACTCTCATATTAAAAAAGTCATCTCTTGATAAGAATGATATTGCAAATTATCGCACGATTTCCAGCCTCTTGTTTTTATCAAAAGTCATTGAACGATTAGTTCTAAAACAATTTTTAAATTAATTGAATGTGCATGGTTTAATTATAATCCATCAGTCTGGTTACAGGCAGTATCACTCTACTGAAAATGCTCTGATCGATATTTCTTCTGAATTGCTTGCATCTTTGGATTCACAAAATGTTTCACTTTTGGCTTTATTAGATATGAGCGCTGCTTTTGACTGCGTCGAACAATCACTCCCTTTTTATAAAATCAAATGCCGTTTTGATGTTGCGGGTGTGGTTGTTTCATGGTTTGAGTCCTATTTGATTGGTAGGACGCAACAGGTTTGTTTCAATAATTTTCTGTCCAATGTCGAAGTTGTTATTTCCGGTGTGCCCCATGGTTCTGTTTTAAAGTCCCTTTTGTTTATATTGTACACGGCTGATGTTTTTCCTATTATTGAAAAATATGGTTTCAGATACCATGCCTTAGCGGATGATTTGCAAATAATTAGTTGCGATAACACAGACCTGGGTTTCAATGCGATGGTTGATAGATTTTTATGTTGTTTTGATAAATTAAGTGAATGGAAGGTAAAAAATAAACTAATTCTAAACGAAAACAAAACACAAATTCTGCATGTCGGTACTTGGCAGCAATTGAAAAAGATTAATATTAACTCTATCAACATCGATGGTTCTAATGTTGAGTTCTTCACTTTCGTTAAAAATCTGGGCGTTGTATTTGATATGAATCAACATACTAAGTCATTGGTTAAAGATTGTTACTATCAACTTCGCAAACTCAGGCAAATAAAAAATCAGTCAATAACGACACCTTGAAGTGTTTGGTTCACATATTCATTTACTCAAAAATAGATTAATGCAACAGCATTTTTTACGGAGTTTCAAATGGATTGATTAATCTTCTTTAGTCAATTCAAAATCGTGCTGCTAAGATCGTTTCTGGAGAGTTAAAATATGACCATGTCAGTAATACTCTGCGAGATCTTCATTGGCTTACAATTAAAAAAAGAATTGTCCTCATGCTTGCCGTTATGGTTTTCAAATGCTTAAATGGTTTTAGCGCAAGCTACTTTTCCGGAAGGTGTTTATACAAAACGAAAACTATTCATCACTTGCAATTACGCTCAGATGATCAGCTGGAAACTTGACAGCAAACCTGACTACGCAGGACCTATATATAGCCTAGATTTTTAGCATAGATTCAATATTTCTTTACAATACTCCATCAAAAGATTACAATTATAGCAAAGATAACTATATCAAATACTAATAAACATAGCGCAATTTAATCATTCCGGCGTTTATAACAATATCCATATGCAAACAAGTTTCAGCAAGACCTGTGGTAATCATTTGAATCATTTGCAACAGTCTGAAAGTGGTAACGAACCTGTAGACTATGATTTTCTCCCTCACTACTAACGCAAAAGCACTCAACAAAATTAACTGTGGCATTTTTGATTACAAGATAACTTTTTTTAAATCCTTTTTTTAAATACGACATCGTGTTGAAGAAAATAATTTAAAAAATTAACAGTTTGTACAATCCAAAAATACCAACAAGTTATTCAATCAATACAGCATGTACCTTCCCGAACATGAATCAAATGGATCAATGATAGCAAAAATACATACCTTACTGTGTGTTTCTAAAATTTGCTTCAAACATTTTGCACATCTAAATCTAAACTAGAATGTGCATTGTTCAATAAAATACTAAATAAACATTCAGTGGTAACATTCTCGATTTAATAAAATTATACAAAATATTAATACCTGATATGTTTATACATTGGTTGTACAGTCTAATAAAAAGATATAACAATAAATATAAGGTTAAAATAGAAAAAGTAAAAATAATAAAACATGAGGATATTTTTATCATTGGATTTTAAGATTCTCCTACCTTGGGAGAACTGGGTCTATGGACGCTAAACGATGATTGATTGATTTAAGATGTTGTTTATGTGTTCAGACCAAACAGGATCAAATTTGTCCTCTTTAAAAAATTTAAAATCTTTTCGCTGAAACTAGTAGGCCATAATATAGACAATGCACAGGCGTTCAATAATAATTGCCCACTCTCTTTCAAACAATTTCATCTATTATGTTATTTTTGCTACGTTTCTAACTCCCAATAAGTTTTTATTCAAACTTCACTTTTAACACGCTTCATATGTTCTGCATTAATTTCATCATCGCCCATAGAAAAATTCAAACTTTGTGAAATAGGACGACCAATTTCAATTTGCAAAATAACACACACAAAAATTAGTAGAAGATTATTGCGAAAAACAACAAAACAAACAAAAAAGATCCACCTCCGAAAAAACTGTACAATTGTTGTCTGTGAATAAGCTATTGAACAAGAAAAATTAAATAATTCACCAATGGCAACAGATGATTTATTTCAGATTATAATATTTTCATTTAAAAGAAATTCAAAAATATTTATTTTGTTGTTTATTTTGTTATTTATTTATTTTGTTATTTTATTGATAAATCTAAAAAATAAGAATTAGTGAGCAGTATGAATGTTATGGGGATTAATAAAAATTAAATCATAACGTTCTATCTTTCACTTATAAAACATTAAAATAAACTTACTTTACACTTAAAAATAGCACTGGTCCAGTAAAAAATAATGAAAACCCAGCTATAATATAACCAAAGGAAATTATGAACAAGGATAAATTAGGCTGCAATGTTAAATATAATAAATTAGATATTTTTTTTAAATTATTCAATTTAAAACAAATTTGTGTTAAAGAGAATAGATTTAAAAATCAACAGTTTGTACATACCCAAAAATACCAATAAATTATACAATCAGTGTTGCCTTGGCCCTGGTGTTGCTTTGGCCCTGAGCAATCAGACTAATCGTGCACTGAATGAATGGCACCCGATCAGTGAAAGAACATCAATATGGTGCTATATCAGTGATTGTCTGCTATGCGCCAACTAATGAGGCAACGGCTGAGACCAAAGATCTCTTTTACAACGCACTAGAGGATTCGTTTCGCTTCACCAGGCCCACCGACCTCATCATTTGCCTGGACGACTTTAACGCGGTAACGAGTGTTGACTGCCGTATGCCTGCGGTAGTTTGCCCCTTTGGTGGCGGGTCACCAAACAACAACTCTGATCGTTTTTTAAAATTTTTCGCCTCCGCGAAACTGGTTTTGCCGTAAGGATATCCATAGACTGACGTGGCACTCAAATGACGGTGTTACGGCTAAAGTGGTTGACCATATCTGGTAAATGGCAGGTGGCGGGCGGTTCGTAACTGTTGTGTGTATCGTGGCATGGAGTTTGATACTGATCATTCTCCGGTAGTAAACACTTTAGCAATCTCCCTTAAGGGCACTGTGGTTAAAACATGACCTCCTCCTAAATTCAATATCCGTCTTTTGCGGGATAACATCACTACCGCAACATACGCGGCCGAGGTGAAGAAGTGTTTCGTCACTGCTTCGGAAAATGAGCTCTCCTCGTGGAATTCATTTTGTGATGCGATGATCAAGACGGCTAGTAAGGTTCTTGGTCATGCTATTCCCATGCGTCATGAATGGATCTCAACCGCAACAAGGCGACTGATCGAAACGAAACGGCAGGTTAGACTTAGTGGCATGAAAGAAATCGCCCGCTCACTAAGTAGGGAGTGCAGGAGACAGCTGCGTAGAGATTGTCAGGCTTGAGCGGACAAACTGGCGGCAAATGGTATTGTAGGGAATGGACGGACCAAAAACGCTTTTGGTCATTTCCGGAAGCTTAGATTGACAACCCTGGCTGTCCTAGTCCTATTCTCAATAAAGCTAGAAAGATGGCGAGAATACTACAGCCAGTTGCTCAACCACCCAATGTCGGCGCCTTCGCAGGAATTGCTAAATTTTACTGAATCCACTGCCCAAGAATCAGGGATTGACACTAAACCCTCTTCCGTAGCTGAGATTATCGCAGCTATAGGAACGCTAAAAAGCGGCAAGGCACCGGGCCTGTGTAACATTCTTCCGGAGATGCTTAAATCAGGTGGACCTATGTGTGCTAGTTGGCTGCACTCCGTCATCACCAGGGTCTGGCAGTCCGGTGCAGACCCGGATTATTGAAGGAAAGGTATCCTCATTCCGTTTTACATGGGTGAAAGATCCCGCAATGAAAACTATAGAGGCATCACTTTGCTGTCAGTTCCAGGCAAGGTGTTTGCCCGCGTCTTTCTTGATCGCATCCGTACTCTCTTGCTGTGTCGGCGCCGTGGAAAACAAAGTAGCTTCACGCCTGGTAGGTCTACCATCAACCGGATATTCACGCTCTCACTCCTTCTACAGACAGGACGTGAATTTGGTATAGCTCTCTCTCGATTAACTACGTTGACTTTAGAGCGGCTTTTGATATAGTCAACAGGAATGCTACTTGGCTGTTGTTCCGTGGTCTGGGCATCTCCGATCACCTGGTAAAACTGTTTAAGGCTCTATACACCCACACCTTCAGCTGTGTTAGATCGGAGGAACGATGGCTTGTGCCGGATGAGTTCTTGGCTCCGATGGATTAGATCATGGAGCGTTCCGTACACAAAGTTGTACTCGGCGCCACAATTGGCAAGTTGGTATTCACGGGCCTGGATTATGAAGATAATGTTGTTTTGCTGGCTGAGATGCGAGATGTTCTCATACTGTCGTTGGCTGTTCTGTCCGAGGAGGCTAAGCCTTTTGGTTTAGAAATCAACTGAGACAAAACGAAAATTCAGGCAATCTTTTTGGGTGATCCACCACCCACGCCTGTCTGTGCTGGGTAATGACGTACAGATTGTAGATTCGTTTCCATATCACGGCTCCTAAATGCACTCGTCAGGCAGTAGTCACGTTGAAATTTCGCGTCGAATCATCATTGTCCGCGCATGTATGAGGTTCCTGGATCGTGGTATATGGCACTCCGGCATTTCGGTGACGACCAAAGTTCGATTGTATAACGCATACATCATCCCCGTGCTGCTCTATGGATGCGAAGCGTGGTCAACTACTGGCGCTCATTTGAAGATGTATAATACTGACTAAAAATACTTCAAAATTTTCAACGCAAAATTTATTCACTCGATAGGGGGCATGGTGCAAGTTAATTTACTCGATAGGTGACGACGATTTTTTTTGTTTTGCAATTTAGATGACGTCATAAATTATTACAAATTATTTTAAAATTTAATTAGTAGTTTTTTTTTATTAATTGGACATACCTTGGAAATTTTTATGTTTTAAAACACCCGAAACAAAATCTAATTTTGCTTTGATAAGGAAGGGTGTGGAAGAGGGTGGAGACTGGGTTGACTAGTTAGGCAGCTTCGAATAACCGGTGCCTATTCTGGTCCCTAAGAGACTTAATACGTGATTCTATGCTCATTGGCATAGTTTCAGAAACGTCTTAAGTTCTCAAAAAGAGTCAGCCTTGGGTTCACCAGTTAGGCAGCTTCGAATAATCGGTAGAGACCGACCGAAATTCGGTTTCGGTTTCGGCGCCGAAACTGCCAATTTTTCTAGTTTCGGCCGTTTTTCGGTTTCGGCCGAATGTTATATTTCAGTTTCGGCCGTTTTTCGGTTTCGGCCGAAACTAAATCATATTTGCCGAAAAAAACCGAAAATATTTTTTTTTCAAAAATACTTGAGTAAATTACATGAAAGTGATAAATGTCTTCTAAGGAAAACTGAACTACAAGTGGATTATTGCTGAAAATGTTTGATATTCTTAAATAACTATATAAAACTACATCATTTATATATTACCACCTATGTATATATATATATATATATATATATATATATATATATATTATACTTAAAATTGCAAAGATTTGCATATAGACAAAGAAAAGCTTTCAATATCATCATACACCATAACGCAATTATAAATCATCACACTCATATATATAAGTGCATATAAATGTATATATAATCCTTATTGTATTGGGTGGTCTATATATATATGTATATATATATATATATGGCTCTAAAATTTACAAAGTTTATCTTTATTGAAATTTGACCATGCCTGATAAACACATCAACATAATTTATGCAGAGATGGACTTAAGCTCAACTCAATTTTTCATGGTTCAGCGCTATTTATATACACATACACACAAGATATAATTTATAAATTCTCACCATATATATATATTTATTTATTTATATATTATATATATATATATATACGCACAAGTATAATAAGAATAACATTTCATTGTCTATAAAAAAAATTTTAAACTTCTTTGTTGTTTTGAAGTAACTGTCTAAATTTTTAAAGTAAAAAGTTATATAAATGATGTTCTATTAAAATTTTCAATATTCGGTTTCGGCCGAAAATATTTTTTTAGTTTCGGTTTTTTTCGGTTTCGGCCGAAACCTATTTTTTAGATTCGGCCTTATTTCGGTTTCGGCCGAAACTGAAATTTCAATTTCGGCTTTGTTTCGGTTTCGGCCGAAAGAAAAAAAACAGTTTCGGTCGGTCTCTAATAATCGGTGCCTATTCTGGTATCTAAGAGACTTAATTCGTGATTCTATGCTTATTGGCATAGTTTCAAAAACGTCTTAAGTTCTCAAAAGTGGATTTGGTACGAGACTCTATGCTCATTGGCATAGTTTCGCACGCGTACCAAAGTCACACAATTTGTTTTCAGTGTTGTTCTGACTCTTGTTGTTTTGTGTTGGTTGTGCGAAAGCTGACCAGACTCGACGGCCCAGTGAAAACAGGCCAGGGTTGTGCGAAAGCCGACCGACTGACAGACAGGCCCAGTAAAAACAGGCCCTTGGTCGTGCGAAAGCCGATCAGACTCGACGGCCCAGTGAAAACAGGCCAGGGTTGTGCGAAAGCCGACCGACTGACAGACAGGCCCAGTGAAAACAAGCCTTGGATTCTGTGAAAACGAATCCGCCTCATTGTTTTGTTTCTTGTGCTATTTGTGGACCTAGGGTTCTTTGCTGGATTCTATACTCATTGGTATAGTTTCACACGCAGCTTGGAATTTCCATAGGCTCCGATTTTTTGTAATTTTTTCCGCATTCATTTCTTGGAGTTGTAACGACATCACCATCGGATACACACGTCGAGGTTGTACGATTGAACGGCAACAAACATATCCCAAGTCGAAGACCCAACAAGAATAAGTTATAATTCCTGTATTCCAGTTTGTTCATTGACATTTTACATTATTATAGAGTTCATTTAGTTCAATTCCTCTTCATTTACTTCCGTCGATTAATAAAACTGTTATCGAATATTTTTCTTTACGCGTTCGTGTGTTACTCAGTAAAATCATATTGTTATAATACTCGCTGTCGTAACCGGTTTACGATGCGACGGGTTCAAATCTTCGATTGAATAAAATACTCCAAACAGTTATTAAACTTTATTTACAGAAGAAATCAACTATTATTAGTTATTAAACTTTATTTACAGAAGAAATCAACTAATGGTTTATTTCCAGTAAATTCGCACTAACGCAACAATTAACTTTTAAATCTTTCAAAATCTATCGCTACGACAACGTCAACAAACAAATCAAATATCGCTTTAAATAATTCACCGAATCGCTATTCACAAAATCACGAATTTCACTAATCACAAATATCACTAATCACGAATATCACCAATCACGAATATCACTAATCACAAATATCACTAATCACGAATATCACTAATCACGAATATCACTAATCACAAATATCACTAATCACGAATATCACTAATCACAAATATCTTGCGACGTGCGCTTATATACTCTTCGCAAGCGTCGTTTCTAGATTCTTCCCGATGGTCCGATTCCAGCATACTCTAGAACGTTCCAGTCACTAGAACATTCTAGAATACGCTAGAATCTAGTGCGTTCGATAGCACGGTTAGTTCTGTTCGTCCCGAACAGCTTTCGTTCCGGTGTCCGCATGGTACGGAGCCAGTCTATCCAAATGAACGATCTTCATTCTTGCTCTCGACTTCCGATATTCCTGAATACGGTAGACGACGTCATTCAAGCGGGTGATGACTTGATAAGGTCCTTCCCACCCTCGCTGGAGCTTTGGAGAACGTCCTTTCTTCCGCTGTGGGCTGTACAGCCAAACTAACTCGTCGACAGCAAAACCGCCACTGCTTCCTTTCAAGTCGTATCTGGTTTTGGCCGCCTCCGTGTTTTTCATAATTTTAAGGCGTACGTAACGGTGGATATGGTTTAATCGCTGTCGAAGATTATCCACGTATTCCGTTAATGGTTGGTGTGGTTCGGGTGGTACGCCATATTTCACATCAGCTGGAGTTCTTAAGGTAGTCCCAAACAGAACTCTTGATGGCGTTTCTCCAGTAGTTGTGTGGATAGCACTCCGGTATGCCATAAGAAACAATGGTATATGACGATCCCAATCCCGTTGATTTTCGTCGACTACTTTAGCCAGATGTTCAATCAGGGTTTGGTTGAATCGTTCCACCATACCGTCAGACTGTGGGTGAAGAGGTGTCGTTCGAGTTTTGTTCATACCTAGCAGCTTGCACATTTCACAAAACAGTTGTGACTCAAAATTTCGACCTTGATCTGAGTGGAGTTCCAATGGGACACCATATCGACTAATCCAGTTGAGTACAATTTCCTCAGCGACGGTACATGCTTCTTGGTTGGGTATTGGAAACACCTCAGGCCATTTGCTGAAATAGTCCGCTACAACCAGAATGTAACGGTTTCCATAATCTGATACCGGAAAGGGTCCAGCAATATCTATAGCAATCCGTTCAAAGGGGACACCAACATTGTAGATTTGCATTGCTCCTTTTAGCCTTCTTTTGGGTCCTTTGACTGAAGCGCATGTGTTACATTTTCGACACCAGCTCTCTACATCTTCTCTAACGTGAAGCCAGTAAAATCCTTCTCGTATTTTGTCAAGGGTCTTGTTCACTCCTAAATGTCCCCCAGAAGGGCCGCCATGCATTTCATCAAGGATTTCGGTCGTTCTATTTCTTGGTATTACAACTTGCATGCGGTGTTTTGATCCATCAGCTGATTCCCATTTTCGTTTCAGCAAATCCCCTTCCAAATACAAAAAGTCCCACTGAGCCCAATAACCCTTTAACACGGCACTATATTCTGAGATGCTTTGCCAGTCCGGTCGCTTGCCCTCCTTCTTCCATGTGATTAGATGTTGTAGGTCCTCATCCGCAAACTGTGCATCAGCAAGATCCGTCGGTGTCCAACCGTCATCCGCTGATATTGTTGTTGCTCTTATGTCTTCCGATTGTATCTTCTCCTCGTGACGACAGCAGTATTTGCATCCTGGTAAACATGGTCGACGTGAGAGAGCATCAGCATTACTACGAGTTGTTCCTTTGCGGTGCACGATCTCGAAGTCGTACATTTGTAAACGCTCCAACCATCGGGCCATCTGTCCTTCAAGATCCTTGAAGTTGAGGAGCCATCTTAACGCTGCATGATCAGTTCGGAGAAGAAATTTCTGTCCATAAAGGTACTTGTGGAAGTGTTTTGTTGCATTGACTATTGCTAGTAACTCCTTCCTGGTCACAAAATAGTTTCGTTCGGGTTTTGTGAATCCTCTGCTATAATACGCTAGCACCTTTTCTTCTCCGTCTATATGCTGTGACAAAACGGCTCCGATTCCGTTGTTACTTGCATCAGTATCTAACACGAACGTCTTGCCACGAACTGGATATGCTAGCAAAGGAGCATCACATAGTTCAACTTTTAACTTTTCAAATGCTGAGTCGCATAGGGTATTCCAGTTGAAAACTCGGTCCTTCTCGGTAAGTTGGTGGAGAGGTCTGGCAACTTTTGCAAAATCCTTTACAAAACGTCGATAGTACGTTGCCAATCCCAGAAAACTGTGCAATTCATTTTTATCCTTTGGAGTTGGCCAGTCTGTCACAATTTCTATCTTGCTGGGATCGGTTCGAACTCCATCTGAAGATACCACATGTCCCAAATAGTTAACTTCTTTAGAAAATAACCTGCACTTTTTAACGTTCAGCTTTAAATTTGCCACCCGATGTCTTGTGAAGATCTCCCGTAAGTTTTCGACGTGTTGATCAAATGTTCTTCCTAGAACAATTATGTCGTCTAAATAGACAAGACATGTTTTCCAGTTAAGACCTTGCAATACACATTCCATCAGTCGCTCGAATGTAGCTGGAGCATTGCACAATCCAAATGGCATGACGGTGAATTGCCACAACCCCGATCCAATAGAAAACGCTGTCTTTTCGCGATCGTTCTTGTCGATTTCTACTTGCCAGTATCCGCTTTTCAAATCAAGCGTAGAGAACCAACTTGAGCCAGATAGGGTGTCCATGATGTCATCAATCCTCGGTAACGGATAGCTGTCCTTTTTAGTCACATCATTTAACTTCCTATAATCAACGCAAAAACGGGTAGTGCCGTCCTTCTTCTTTACCAAAACAACTGGCGAAATCCAGGGACTTGATGACGGTTCGATGACGCCTTGATTCTGCATTGTCGTTATCATTTCGTTTACTTCTGTTTGTTTTGCTAGAGGAAGACGTCGTGGTACTTGTCGGATCGGTTTCGAATCCTGAGTATCAATTCGGTGAGTTACCAGAGCTGTTTTACCTTGGTCATTGTCACCGGTTGAAAACACGTCTGCAAAATCAGCAATCAACGCCTCGGCTTTTAGACGGTCTTCTTGATACAAATTAAGCTCATCCAGTAGATTTTTGGTAAGTTCTTTGAGTCTATCTTTGTCAGTTGGTAGAACCTTTTCCTGTTGCTCCACATCTAATGATTTCACCAAATTTATTGATTGGCAATTACCTATTTTCTCGCCTTTTTTAATTTTAATAGTGTGTTTAGCGGTATTCATTATTCTGACAGGAATAAGACCATTTTTGTTCGCTTCTACAAGGCATTTTCCAATGACCGCGTTCTGTATATTTGTCGTTGAGGTTGGCTCCATCAAATAGAACTGGTGGCCCCTTGGATCGCAATTCAACTTGCACCATACGATGTTTTCAGATGATTGAGGTAGTTCTATGTCACAATCGACTGTCACTCGAATGCATTTTTCATCGCTATCCCCCATTATCACTTCTGTATTTCTCCATCTAAGAATGCGTTTTTCTAAGTCAATTTTGAACCCATATTTTGTCAGAAAGTCGACACCTATTATGCATTCGTCGATGATATCCGCGACTAAGAATGAACCTTCGAATAACAAGTCGCCTAGCTGAACAGTACGGAGAATCTTTCCATAGACTGGTGCTGTTCCTCCGGTAGCTGTTCGAAGGATGTATTTGTTAGAAGTCTCTTTCTTCAGATTGGGTACCAAATCAGATCTTAAAATCGATTTTGTTGCTCCGGTGTCGACTGTAATTACGCATTCTCGTTGATCAACTTTTCCGTTCAGCCATAAGTCGTTTCGATTTCGATGTAGTCTGGAAACGTTAATTACGGTACTGGGGGCGTCAATTCTACTAGCCAATCTCTGCCCCACAAAGTTGGCTCTTATTAGTTTTCCGCCTCTTCGTTAGAAGGGGCCGATCGTGATACGGGATCATCTTCTCTTCTTTTGCGCCATCTTGTCGCGCAATTTCGGCAGTAGTTATCTTTTAGGCGGTGTTTACAATCACGACGTAGATGGCCTTTTTCGCCACAAATCCAGCATTGGGGTACACCATGCTGTTGGGGTTTGCGTTTCACAATCACCTTCTGGCAAGAGCATTCTTCATGTACTTGGCGTAGACGTACGTCACTTTTTGATGCTTGCTTTGCCGATTCAAAAGTGAGACTGTGCGCAACGGCATCCTTGAGTTTTCGTTTATCTGACAAGAGAAGGGATTGCTTGAGTTCCGAATCACGAAGGGCTTTGATAAACGTATCCAGGGCAGTTTCGTCTCTATGCTCGGGGTCTGATGTCGGATACGACAGCAATGTCAACCGTTCGATATCTTGTGCCAGCTGCTGAATGGATTCACCAGATCGTTGCGTTCTGTTTCTAAGTTGAGACCGATAAATCTGCTTCATGTGTTCTTCACTATAACGTAAATCCAACGCGCTAACCAGAACTTCATAGTTGAAGTGGTTCTCCGCCGGAATCGTCTGAAGAACCTCTGCTGCTGAACCTCGCAGGGCCAGTATCAGTGCTGTTGCTCGTTCTTTTCCGTTCCAACAGTTACTAGTTGCCGCTGCTTCGAACTGGGTTTTATAAACGTTCCAGGACATCTCTCCGTCAAATGCTGGTACCTTCAAAGTTCTTCCAGATGCGTGATCTAACGGCATGGCCATTTTTTTGGATTGCTCCAATTCTCGCTTCAATTTGTCTATCTTGTGATCTACCTCAACGGTCTGACGATCAAGTTTCTGTTCGATCATTTCTATTCTTGTTGACTGTTCTTCAATCTGTTCTGCCACTTCCAATTTTACGTGTTTTAGCTGGTCCTTGATCTGTTTTAACTCCTCTGTCTGTCGTTCGGACTGTTCCTTGATCTGTTGTTTTAACTCCTCTGTCTGTCGTTCGGACTGTCGTTCGGATTGTTCTTTGATCTGTTTTAACTCCTCTGTCTGTCGTTCGAACTGTCGTTCAGACTGTTCTTTGATCTGTTTTAAATCCTCTGTCTGTCGTTCGGACTGTCGTTCGGACTGTTCTTTGATCTGTTTTATTTCAGTTGACATACTAAGCAGAAGTTCCATCATTTTAGCGGTTGTAAACGTGCCTGTGCTAATTTCATTGTCTTCGTCAGCACCATCAAACTTGAATTCGTCTGGGTTCTTACCTTCGTCAATGAGAGCTTCTCTCAGACGTGCAACTAGTACTTCTTTGTTGCCACTTGTGACAAGGCTTCGTTTCTGTAGTTCTTATCGTAGTTGAACTACGTTCAACCCACACAGTTTTGACATCGTGTTCTTTTTCTACGAGTAGCAATTCGCTGGTCGAAGATCCCACTTCTGACACCGATGTTATAATACTCGCTGTCGTAACCGGTTTACGATGCGACGGTTCAAATCTTCGATTGAATAAAATACTCCAAACAGTTATTAAACTTTATTTACAGAAGAAATCAACTATTATTAGTTATTAAACTTTATTTACAGAAGAAATCAACTAATCGTTTATTTCCAGTAAATTCGCACTAACGCAACAATTAACTTTTAAATCTTTCAAAATCTATCGCTATGACAACGTCAACAAACAAATCAAATATCGCTTTAAATAATTCACCGAATCGCTATTCACAAAATCACGAATTTCACTAATCACAAATATCACTAATCACGAATATCACCAATCACGAATATCACTAATCACAAATATCACTAATCACGAATATCACTAATCACGAATATCACTAATCACGAATATCACTAATCACAAATATCACTAATCACGAATATCACTAATCACAAATATCTTGCGACGTGCGCTTATATACTCTTCGCAAGCGTCGTTTCTAGATTCTTCCCGATGGTCCGATTCCAGCATACTCTAGAACGTTCCAGTCACTAGAACATTCCAGAATACGCTAGAATCTAGTGCGTTCGGTAGCACGGTTATAACAATATAATTCGAAAAAGCCCAGTGCCACACAGGACTGGTCGAACTCACGATAAAAATATACACAAAAATTATTGTTGGACCATAAAAAAAATTCCCTGAGAAAGATAGAGGGGAGACTGCTTCAACACACCAGTCAGTTTCATTTTGAAAATTTCCAACAATTGTTGCCCAACGTGGGGCTTTGTCATCATTTTAAAATTTCCGACAATTGGCGCCCAACGTGGGGCTTTGTCATCATTAAAATTTCCGACAATATATATATATATATATATATATATATATATATATATATTGGACGAGGTTTTCTTTGATGCAAATATCGTTAAATATTTTTGCCCATTTTGCATTAATTAATTTTTTAATAAGCATTTCGACAACACGAAGCTGTTTTTAATTCATATTTATTATCATTATGTGTCATCCTAGGCTTACAACGTTGTTTCGACATACAGTCATCATCAGAGCCTGGTTTTACGAAATATCAAAAATTGAATTATAATTTAAACATTAAAATCAAGAAATTTAATGAAAAGTACAAGAAATGAAATTATGACGTTGTAATTAGAAAATTAGAAATATGAAAATGTAAAATATGAAAAAATGTTACCTTGTAATAATAAAATATTGCAATAAAACAATAAACGGTTTTAAACGAATGAAATTAAAACAAAATTATGAAAATAAGTAAATAAAATTGTGTAGAAACGTATAATAAAACAATTCAGTTAGACGTGAAAAACAAGTGTTTCGTGGCGAGATGATATTATAAGTGCTAGTTAATCCTTTTATATCGTCAGTAAGACGATATAAAAAAAGGTGAATGTAGAAATTAAAATTTATTATTATAATTAATAATTTAGAGATAAAAAATAAAATTTGAAACAAACTAAAATGATGTTATTAAAATAAGTATTATAGAAAGATAAGTAATAAAAATAAAAATATAAAAATATCATAAAAAATATCATAAAATAAAAATAATTTAGCAGTTATTGAATAAGGTAGCAAGTGACGTGATGACCATGGATTTCGGGCGTGACGTCAATAACTGTGTATTAACTGGTCGAAAATTGTCAGACTTAGAGCGATATTCGTATTGTTTGGGCACTGAAACGTCTGCTGGCTTGTTTTCGACTGCAATCGTTGGTATCAGTTCACGATATTGAGAAAATAATTGAAGGGGTATGATCGAAACTATTATATTGTTTGTTTAATGTTGGCTTGTATTTGTTGATATACAGGGCTTCGCAAATTTTGAGACGTCCAGTATTTAATACTGAATCCAGTATTGTTGTATTTGAATCCAATATGGTCCTAGTAAGAGGCATATGGTTCTCGTTGGACATATGGTCTCTAATGGCGCCGTCCTTCAAATCAAACGTTTCGGTCTGTGACGACAACAGTTGACTAAAATTCATTATATACTACAACACCAACCGCACCTCAAACCTCATCATAAAAAATAGCAACAATCCTCCTTCATCTACGTTAGAGAGGACGAACGTCGTGTACCGATTTACATGTCCTATGCCACACAGTGTTGTGGAAAGTTACATCGGCCACACGCGTACTACTCTTTCTCGTAGGCTCACTATGCATTTGCAGGACGCGCCATTAGAGACCATATGTCCAACGAGCACCGATCTTGTTCGATTGTTAGATTGCGTCGGTTGGTCGCTGAACTTCGAGTAAATGTTGGTAATAGACCATAATTTTTACAATATTCTATAAATTCTACCGAATGTTTGGCGTTAATATGTTTGTAGTCCGTTTTTTCAATTTAATTCATTCTTGACACTGCAGTCAACATCACAGTGATCCCATTGATTCAACAATTCAGTTAGTTGATTGGACAAATCTAGAACTACCTTCCTTTTAACTTTTAATTCTCAAGAGAGAATTGAAAAAACAAATTGAAAAAACGTACTACAAACATATTAACACCAAACATTTGGTAGAATTTATAGAATATTGTAAAAATTATGGTCTATTACCAACATATATATATAAATTGGTTTTTTCAATTTTTCTCACTAAAGTTTTTTGGTGAACGTTTAGTTTATTAAAATTCAAAATAAACTTATTTTCCGAATTCATGCTGCAAATAAGGCCATATTTCGATTCCGAATGAATCATCATCAGTGCTTTCTGCTGTTTATATAGGGAAATATTGACTTTGTCAAAATGAATTTAGATGGAGAATGACTTTGTCAAAATGAACTTAGATGGAAATTAGGTGTCAAGTTTCTTTATTTGGTCTCCTTTTCTTCATCGATAGCATCATATTCTTCTTTGTCACTATTTACAATGCTAGTTTTATTACTTCTTTGTTTTCGTTGTTGGTTAAGCGCCGGGTTGGAAGTGAGGTTGTCATTTTTTGTTGTATATTTATTTTTGGTTTATTGATGTCAATCAGGACTGCTTCTGCAATTTTAAGATGCGTGTAGTTGCTCGACAGCAACACCAAAGTATTATACCAGAACATTTAAATGCGAATACCAAGATACTCGACACAGAAACCCACCCGGGTAGGTTGAAAATCCATGAGGCCTGCACATAAACAAATGTAAACCAACCATGAACAAACAAACCAATAGATTCGACCACACTCTCCAGCTATTCTCTCAATATAGTGATTCGACGCCGACGTTCCCCGTCAGAAACCATCCACAGCAGGTGACGGTACCACAACGATACGAATATCGTTCCACAATCGACAAACTCCAACCTGCCAATACGCAGTTTGTCACTAATCGTCGTAAATCATACGTCGTCGCGTCACTCACTACCTTATGTGATAATTAATATCCATGCCTCGCTTCATTTACAATCGATAATTAACATCACTTACATTACTATTCCACCTATTCACACATTAGCATAATATATTTATTCAAATACACTCGTATCATCCCACCACTCCACACACGTTTCGTTGTCATTCCAAATTTGCAATATCGATATTCGTACTTCTACCTTCACATCCAGTATTTAACTTTTGAAATTCATTTAATATATTTTGTATATTGTATATTTTATTATTAGTTATCTTAACATTTAATTTATTTTATTGGCAAATTAAGTACCTTTACTCAAATTTCGTATACTTTTTACATTAATTTTAATTTAATTTCCTTAATCATTTTACGCTTATATTTTCCCAATTTGGTTCGTTTATTTTTCTTGATTTTACAATTTTAAATATTCAATTCATATTTAATAATTTAAAGGTAGGCTCTGATGAAGACATACACTGTCGAAACGACGTCGTCAGCCGTTCGAAATGCTCGACGAGTTTAATAAAATTGAGTTACAACAATTGCGTCTTATTGAACAAACCCAAAAGAAATTAATACAAAATGGGCAAGAACATTCAACCAAATTTGTTATAACGAAAACCTCGTGCCAAACTACATATCATATGAGATACATACATACATATATATATACTATCATGGCGTCGACACGTGCGGTTCAAATTAATGAACTTTTTGTTTTATTTGTTCAATAATTTAAGCTCGTTGGAAAATGTTTCTTTTATAAATAGTGTGAAACAGTTCTATAATTTAGACGAATTTAATACTGGTAAAAAAGTTCTTCTGAATGATCTGAGAAACTCTAAAACGGATAATTCTTGTTTTAAACTTACACAGAGAGCTAACAACAAATATGACAAGTTGTTAGACATTATTGATATTGTTAAATTTTGCACGGACAAGAAAGTGGATTTACCAACTTATGTCGCTGCAGATTTTTCGAAAATCCCGGAACCAAGATTAGAACATTTTCTGAATTTATTTGAATTAAAATTTAAATCATTGGAAACTAATTTAAATAAACGTATAACGGAGATTGCACAAATGGCAAATAACCTAAAGTTGAACAATTCTACTGTGCACTCTCAGCATGTCGTTCCAATAACGTTAAATGCGCGCGACATGAAAAATAATACTTCAAATGTTTGGTCTGATAAAGTTATTTCTTTGAATCTAGTTATATTATTTAAATTAATAGAATTATTACATTAGAGTATGATTTATTAAATTTATTATACTTGCTATTAGTATTATTATAATAATCTTTACTAACTATATTTATTTTTTTTGTTAGTCTTATTAGAGTTAGATTTAGACAACAAATAACATTCGTGAAGTCCTTATGTCACTTGTTAAATATCACCACATTTCAACTACTACAAAGTGTTGAAGATCGACTTTTGTTGAGGTCGATGGTCGCCTTATCCTGAAAGTATAAGGCACGAGAAAGAAGAATGTTGTATGCGGTCCGATGTTAAGGATTGAACACTTATAGTATGAGTGCGTTTATTTGGTGCGTGTTTGTTTGTATGTATATATTGTTAAATTTTTCTTGTTGTTGATTATGTGGTTTGATGTTGAAGATTGAACACTTACAGTATGAGTGGATAAGTAGGTGATAAATATAGTTGGATGGATATAGATGGATATTTATATGCTAATATTATTGAATCATAAGTAATTAAGTTGCTATAGTACAGGATTACTGGTGTATGTAATAAATATTGTGTAAATGTATGAGTTATCTTTAATAAAAATATATAGTATGTGTGTGCAAGATTTTGAACAATTGAGTATGCCTGATAGATTTATTTATAGATGCTTATGAATGAATTTTAATGATTTGGTATGGTTGTTAGTGGTTCAATGATAAAAGCGCACAGAATAAAATTCGCACAAGATAAATGCGCATAGAAAAAAGCGCACATACGCATTTGTCCACTTGAAAAGAGCACATATAAAAAACCCGCACACAGAAAAAAAGCACATCAAAATAAGAACACACAGAAAAAAACGCTTATTGATATAAGCTCACACAGACATAGATGCACATCAACATAAGCATACATGGACATTACACATACACACACATACCAACGCACACACATACATGAGCACTCACATACATAAGTCCACATATACATACGCACACATTCACAAAGAGCACACAATACATTAGCGTATGTGTATAAACATAAAAGCGAATCGAAATGAACGCAATCATATTAACGTACACGGACATAGTGCTTACATAAATGAACAGACACACATACACATACATATATGCATACATATGTACGTTCATGTTGATGTGCGCTTATGTCTGTGTGCGTTGTATCTATATGCACTTTTTTTTATTTTCTGGGTGAGCTTATTTCGATATGCATTTTTTCTGCGAGCACTTAATTTGATGTGCTTTGTTTGTGTGTGCGCTTATTTCGATGTGTTTTTTCTGAGTGCGGTTATTTCGATGTGCGCTTTTTTCCTTTTAGCAAATATGTTAGAAATAACACAGACAGTGTTGCGAGCTTTGTTCAATTTGTAATTTGTTTTTCTATTTTTCGTACGACGAATTTCAGTTCATTATCAAGTTTGTTCGGTTTATTATCAAAAAATTTTTATTCATTTTTTTATATTTGCTTAAATATGTAAATGATAGCGTAAAGAGCATTTTTGACAATCATTATTCCTCATCAGTGCTGAAATGGATATTGTTTTATGTGTCTGCTTATATAGGTTTTGAGTAACTTTGTTACTGAGTGTTTTCAATAATTAATTTTTTTCGGCTCCTGACTTTGCTATTCGGTAGGACCCAGTAGCGTGTTGCCAAATTTTTATCGCTGGATGTCTTTGTTCGATAAGCAAAACTTCAACATAAATACTGCATAACCAAACGTCGTCGTCGGCTCACGTTCAACAAATGAGTCGAAAATATCGACAAACAAAACAAAAAGACGTTGAAATTTGTATCAAGTCAGTAAAGAAATGTGTTTTGTCTGACATTGTCTACAACTTGAAAACAACGTTTAGACGTTATACTGTTTTGCATTGTTTTGTAAAGATGAATGTGAAGACTGGCAAAAACCAATCGACAATTTGTTTTTATTTTTTTTTTGTTGACAGCAAATTATCTGATTTGATCGTCAGTTTCCTGGCTGAGGTTTGTCAGCATCAGGAAGAGGAAATTTGGCAGCAGCAACAACCCAAGTGATGCCAGCCATCAGCTACCTGAAAAGAAAAAACATGGCCGACGTCTGTGTATTTATTTAAATTTAGTTATGATAACTTTTATGATTCACTATTAGAATTTGATGACATTTAATTTATGATACTTTTTCTTAATACTGTGCGTGAGCGCTTGTGAGAAGAATACCCCAATATTTTAAAATAAAAAGTGAACATAATGAAGAAAAGTTAAAAATTATGTCATTTATTTTGTCAATTGAATAAATAAAAGAATGAATGCTGTAAAATAAAAATTTTTCTTTACAACCTGTAAAGTTAAAAAAAACAAAGAATTTGAAATAACAAGTTTCAGTTTTGTTTGTACAATAACGTAAACTTACTCAACTTATGAACTAAAACACATAATTATTTGTTCACCTTGTAATCCACAATTCTTCCCCATATTGGTGACATAACACAATAGGCCATAGATTCGGTTAAGAAGACCATTCCAACCATAAAAGGCGACAGGTGAAACTGTTGTTGTAAAAATTTTTTTTGAGTATTATCATAAATTATTGAATGGTAGTAAAAATGCGACGGATTGAGATTTGGATCCTAATCCCGGAATCCGTTAAGAGACCGATTCGTCAAATCCAATGTTAAAAATTAGGTAAAAACCGAATAAAATTATCGAATATCGAATAAAATTGTCCGTTAAGAGACCGATTCGTCAAATCCAATGCTAAAAATTAGGTAAAAACCGAATAAAATTATCGAATATCGAATAAAATTGTGTCTAAAAATAATTTAACTGAATATTTTCAACTATGCCTATGAATTAAAAAGAAAAATTTTATAAATTTTTTCAATCGTGTGTTAATTTTTTTAACACATGTTTGTAATTACAGATGAACTGGGGTTCCTATCTCCTTGTGAATGTATGAGGCAAAAAACCCCCGGTTCAATTTTATTTAAAAATTTTTCAAAAATGCAATAAAAAGTGTGATATTTTTTCTACAATCAATGTTATTAACAATGTTTTTTGATTTCAAGAAGAGTTTTTCTTATTTAATTAATTATCTAAATGTAAAAAAATGAAACACAATTTTTAATAGTGAAAATTAAAAAAAATACATTATAAGCAAACAGTGATTGATCTTGGGTAAACCGGGACCCCCGTTGTTAGTAGTTTTTTAAATAAGAAAGAAAAGACCGTTTTAGTTATAAAATCAACCAAAATTGAACGTGATAAACAAAAAAAGAGGTCGTCAGCCACACTACTAAGTGGTCTAGATCCGCCACCGTATACAAATATAACATTTGTCAAGATTTAAAAATAACTAATGTACAACAATTGAAACTTGATTATGCAAATTGCAATTTATTTAATAACCTTGTAAATGTGTAAATGTAAATCATATGCGGTTTAAGGTTTTTTTTATCATTTTGAGCTTACTAAAAGCATTTTTCTGCAGAGGTGTTTAATAAAGCAAGAGAAGCAAATATTATGTAAAGAATTTATAATAGTATTTATTTGAAATATTTTGCCAATTGCGGTAGCCAGATAACTGATGAAGAACTTTGAGTGGATTTATATAACTGCAATTGTTTTAATAGTTAGCTTTTATTTGAGCTTTCTTATATGTCATATTGTCGACTTCCTCATATTATTCAACAGAAAATATTTCCATTTCAGAATCATAGCCAGAACCTGCAGACAAATTTTTCGTCTTTTATTCATTGCTTAGTAATCTGTATGCCTTTTCAAAATTATTTAGTTCAGTTGCCACACTTTTTGATTTAACACTGTTTTGGTTGCAAACAATTTCAATTTTGCTAGCCTTACGGAATGGCTGCATTAAAGTGTTGTAGGAATGAATAACAAAAGTTTTTGTTGATCAAATATACTTTTTATTTGTTGATTCACTTTGCCAAAAACATTTAAAAAAATTTAATTTTTACTTTTTTAAGCCCAACTAAACATTCGTAACTGTAGTAATGTTCATCAAACATTTTCTTCTTGGCACAGTACCTATAAACATTGCAAATGATTCCGACCCATTGCATATTGTTTTCCAAGTCAAATCAGCCAGTATTTCTTTTAATGATGTCAATCTGATGTATGCAGTTTTTTATAAATTTCGTTGCATAAGTCAATAGATAACCCCCTGCTCTGCTTCAGATATGGGACTAATAATATTACAGACCAACTTTAAAACTGTAGGACAATTTTTCGATGGATTGAGATGGCAATGTTGAATAAAAACTGGTTTAGAGACGTTTGAAAGGTGTGTGTTGTAGTTGAGAAAGAGTTGACTATAACGGTAGCATTCTTAGAAATGTTGGTTGATTGGAGATTTTAATGAACTTTGCATTTTCGTTGATGATTTTTGAAACCTTTTCTATTATTGTTAATCACAACAACACTTTATTGAGTTAATATTATCCAAATTAACAGAAATTTCTATTATAAAATTTAAGTTGTAAATTTCATGCGAAATGTTAACATTGAAATTTGAAGTTGAACTATCATTGATATGAATCATTTATTTAATCAAAGAAAAACAAAATTTTCCCCGGATTTAGTGACAAAATAAGATCTAACGATCTTGTGCTGGCCACCTTGACTAAACAAAAACAAAATTTAAAAATAAATTGTTTAATTTTAATGTTTAGAAACATAAGTACTGATATACAGAATGATATAAACAGATACTTGTCAAGATGATAAATTGTTTTATTTTAAGTTATATCAATAAAACTAAGGAGGTTTACTGTTCATTAAGAAAATTTTTAATGTTTTTTAAAATTTGTAAAAGTTGTCGATTTCTTTGATGTGGTACGGCAAAGTTCTGTCCCACACTTTCGGACCAACATGTGATAGGCTGGACTGAATCAACTCCAGTCTCGCCTGTTTATTATTTACAAACCAACTCTGATATTTAAAAAATTCACTGTTAATCAAGTCTATTTCTTGCAATATATTTCTCGATGAATAGAATAAATTGGTGTCATCAGGATAAAGTATGCAATTGAACATTGTCGACATATCAGGCAAATCGTTGACAAAGAGGGAAAAAAACAGAGGTCTTAAGATGGACCCTTGCGGTACTCAGTATTTTGCAGGAAGGATTTTTGACTCTTGTTTGTTCTGATAAACAAATTAGGATCTAATGGCTAAATAACTTTCAAGCCAAGAAAAGATATCATTGCAAAAACTGTAATGTTTAACAAATAGTGGTTTATTATCTTGAACTCCAGACTGAGATCAACAAATAAACCCAGCGTAAGCCATTTACCGTTCCAATTTTTTAATATTTTCTGACTGAATTCTAAAATTGCCAGTTTAGTTGAATGTGCATTTCTAAAACCATATTGACCGTTTGATAAAATGTAACGTTGATATAAAATAATTCATATTTATACATACTATTTTTTCCAAAATCTTTCAAAACGGTGACAACAATGCTATCGATCTGTAATTACTTGCATCGTTTCTGTGGCCTTTTTTAATGAACTGGTATAATCTTGGCAGTTTTAAAACTATTTGTGAAAACGCCGTTTAAGTGAGACAAGTAAAAAATATGGCTAATTGGAAAGGCTATTTCTTTTATAAATATTTGAACAATAAATTTACTAAGATTATCATGAGATACTGAATTTCTTCTTATTAAATTTATTAACATCTGACAAAACTTCTGAACAACTGGTATTCTCCAGAAAAAATGAGTTACTGTTACGTTTTGAGAAAATGTTTATGTCCTTTGTAGAAGAGAATTCACACTGCATTGATTTAATAAAATTTTCATTTATCGCTCTGCTAATGTCTATTGCATCATCTAGAGTGGTATTGTTGTAGAAAAAATTAATCGTTTTTGATGATTATTTATTGTTAAAAATATAATTAAGTTCCATTTTGATTGCATATTGTTTTTTTTAACATGTTTTGATGAAACAGTTTTTAAGCTTTTTTGGCTGTAAACAAATTTTGAAATTTTTTGTATCCTATTATGCTGTTATCTGTTGGGGTATTGATTAATTTTGGGTATAACTTACTTTTGATATTGACGGATTCACAATTTCAGTAGTTATCCAAGATTTTTTAATTCTGTTCGATTGAAAAGGTTTCAAAGATACAAATGTATCGAAAACTCTGTTGAAAACATTTAAAAACAAATCTAGACACTTGTCAACATCACTTTCGTTGAAGGGTAACTCCCAATTTTTTTTTGCTAATTCATCTTTAATTTTTGAAAAAAATGACGTTGTGAGTTCTCTTCCTGAGCTTTTTTGTGTTGACACTGCGTGATGTTAGTTATTGAAAAGATTGGAAAATGATCGGATAGATAATGCCTGACAACACCGCTGACATGATTATCGTAGACGTTGGTGAAAACATTATCAATCAAACTAACAGAGAAGTGTTAGAAGTGTAACTGTTATAAGGGAACAAAATTGAATTGTTGAAAAATGCTTTCAAAGTTTATTTTAGCAGTATTGTTACAATTTATTTCAATGTTGAAATCGCCCAGAATATAAGAAGGTTGATTAAAACTTGATAACACTTTCTGAAATTATTCTAAAATACTGAGCATATCTAAATTTGAGGGTCTATACAAAACAGTCATTTTTATCTTATTCTTGCTGCCAAAAAAACAACTTGATATTTTGACGGATAAAATTTCTAAAGAGTTTGAATTAGAATTACAACCTTCAATTTCGTATTCGAAACCACTTTTTAAATACTATTCTCTTGAGGCTGCTAGATCTTTCTTTTAATATTACTGATTCTTGTCTATCCTGGTTTTCTTCTTTTTTTTTAATTCCAAGAATTCGTTTATGTCCCAAAAAAATAAAACAGGCAATCAAAAAAGCAAGCTTGCGCAGACTACCTTAACTAAGTGCTCAAAAAAAGAAAAAAATATATATATAAATATATACATATACATACATATATAAATATATGTACCTATATAAAAATTATATATATATATATATATAATTTTTATATAATATATTTTTATATAATTATTAATGAAACATTTATAAGCGCTAATTAAAATCAAAAAGTTCTCAAAAGCGCTATCTATAATCAAACAAAGTCAAAAAAGAAAAAAGTACAGTCAATGGCGGTAGTAACAAACAAATAATTATTCACTTAACAACAAAATCAAAGCGAAGTAAGTTTTAAGTTTCTTTTTAAAATCATCAAGTTTCAAATATTTAGTTCTAAAGATCTCGGTAAGCTGTTCCAAACCATTAGTCCAGATACTGCAAAATCTCTTGATGCTATCTGCAGATTGACATCAGGTACAACCAGCAAAATGCCATCATCTGATCTAAGGTTCATACCACTCATCATTATAGACTTTTCTTTTATTTTATCTATCAAATAATTTGGTAACAAGCCATGCACAGTTTTATACATTAAAATACATATTTTATATTTAATTCTTTTCTTTATAGTAAGCCAATGAAGGCTGTTAAGAATTGGAGTAACATGGTTAAATTTGAGACCTCCAACAATCAATTTG